AATTCTGTCTATTTGCAAAAGTATACCCTTTCCAGTGGAAAGAAGAAAATGCAGCAAAAGGTCATGGAAAGTTGTTGATGCATGTTGTTAATTGGATCATGATAAATGATGCAGCAGTAGAAATAAATGTGTTTGTACAGTATGTCGGTGTCCACAGTATATATGACAGATTTGCAAAATGTCACCTCTGTTTCCTCCAATTATTTATCAAATGATATTGCCCATTAATCATTTTCAAGATGTTAATTTAAAAATAACCTAGCTGCTGCTTTCTCACTAAGTTAGATATCAGAGTTAAGAAACATTTGGATCAAATACAGTATACAGTAGATGTGCCAAATGTCGTTCAAACTGTGGTTTGACTGCAGCTGTATACAAAATGTGCAATATTCATTACCTACTAAATGAAATCTGGGTTGGCTCTGCAATTATATTTAATTCTCACCTGTTGGAACACGGTAACCGTAGACCTCCACCTCGCAGAGTGTTAGGGTTTTCTTTAAACCACGTAGAATCACAGTCACATAACGTCCCTCCACATGTTCGGTAAAAGTCATTTTTAAAGACATGCCTGAAGGGATGTGATAAATTATACCGGCCCTAAAAGAGACAGAGGAAGCAGGTCATAACATCCTTTTGTAACCAACATTTGACCTGCCAGAAGAACAGATAAGGCAGTATTTCACAGAGCAATTCAACCCTGTAACTAGAAATCATTGCGATCACTCACACTGGGTTTGAAGCGCCGTTGTTTTCTAAAGAGTTGCCGATGTGAACCCTTGCCATGTTGAGCTTTCCTGCACAGCAGTCTCCTCTGTTGATGATGATGACGGAGGTGATGATGTAGGACTCCAGCAGGTCCACTCTCCACCAGGGGTTGGTCATCTCAACAGTGGAGGTGCATGATCCAACAGAGTAGTTAGATTCACGGTTTCCATCAATAGCATTGGAGGCAAATCCATACAAGTCGGCAATACGCTCTGACATGCTCGCTCTTCCACGTAAAGCCACATTCTCTGTGAATGAGATCGTAGAAATACATTTATTTTGTATGTAAAACATTTTTTTAAATGAACAAACCTGCATTAAACTTGTTCCAGTCGGCTATGGGGGCAGCCAACACAAATTCGTTATACAACATGACACATCATAACCCTTCAAGTTGAGGAACTTGTTTGCAATCAGTTGCTAACTTGTAGCAGTTACAGAGCCACACGATGGTTCATTCAGAGCTGGTTATGTCAATCTGATGAAGGTAAGTCAAATATTCACTTTAGAAATCACCTCTGTTTTTGGTTTCCACCAACTGCTAAGATAAACATCTTGCTTTGTCACCAGTGAGTTCATATTTGTGTCTATCTGCTGTTGTTTTTATTTGTACAGATGTATAACCATTACCTCCGCGTTGGCCTGAAAAGATTCCTTTAATGGGCGCATCTATGCGTTTTGGGGTTTAACTAACGCATCCTGTAGCGTGTTATATACTGTTGTAGGATTGTGTGCATGTAAATGGTCAGCAAAGAATAAAATCCCTGTGTTCCCTCCAGTAGGGGATTCAGAAAATGTTGGTAAACTACGGTGCAGACCTTGTAATGATGGGGTGTGAAAAAATCCTTCTTGCACTCTCACGTCTTAAACTAAGATGGATGTGAAAACAGCCATCTGCTGTGAAACTCCAAAAACATCACTCCAACAAAAATCCAAACATATTAATGTTCAGGGAGACATAACAGTTTTATAACAACGTTAATATCGATACAGCCACGTCCTACTTACGGTAGTTGTTAGCTGAGCTTGTTCCCAGAAGGAGCAGCAGAGACAGAACTGACGTGTGTTTCATCGTTCTGATTGAGAAAGACAATTACATCATTACACTAAATAAATAACACTAAATATCTTTCTTATTACTTAATGAAATATATCTCTGATTCTCTTTGCTACAGAAGTTAGATATCCAGAGTGCAGATAAATGGAATAGCCCAAAAACGTATAAATGATATCACTACATGTTTTTAGCACTGCATGTCAAGTCGAGTAAGCAAACAAATATGAAATGAATAAAAACATCCACTCTGTATATTTGAGAGAATAATTATTTAACAACCACAAACCTTGACTTGCAGAATAAATCCAGAAGAAGACGAGGAGCGGCTCTTTATGCTGTGTTGATGAATGTGATTTGCTTCAGACCATACAGGGATATGTATTAATCTTGTACGTCTTATCATGGCATGTGTTGTCAATAAGTGATGATTTATCAAATAAAACGTTGTCCTTGGATGAAGATAAGGCTTATTCTCGTCAGGGATGTTGTCTTGGATTTTGCCTGGTGCCAGCTTTCTTATTCAAGATTTAACGCATTCAATCTTCCACTAAATCTGGTTTCAGGTTACAAAATGAGTTGAATGTAAATTGCAATAAGGTAAGCGTGCACTTTTATGACTTGTTTTGCTCATATAAGATACCTATTGTTTTGAACAATTGTGCCACTGAACACTTGGCAGTTTCCAAATGAATATGGTTGTACTTCCTGGTCAGATAATCAAAGATAAAACAGTAAAACTGGAGCATATTAATGTTGTTGATACGCTGCCATGTGGATTATTTAAGATACGACTTCCCGGTGTCCTAAGATAATAAGTGTACTTTGAATTCTCCGGAATTGTTGCTGAAAAGGCAAAAAAAACATGAAGTGTGAAACCACAGGAATCAGTCCATAAATATAGAAAATACATCTCGAAAAGCTGAACATGTCATGAACTTATGTGCAAACTGATTGACCTTAATGTATGTGTATTGGCTGATTTAACAGAATAGGCATGCCGCCTAAATGACTTGGTCACGCAATGTCAAATTGTCTTTAAATGAAACTCTAGTATGTCTTTGAGTATCTGGAAATCTATCAATAAAAATGTATTTTAAAATGTGCACATTGTTGCCTTTTACAGAGTTGAGGAGAAACCACAGTAAAAGATGGAGCGGTCAGAGAACGTTGTGAAGATGTATTTTGTAACTTGATGGATGCACCAGCAGCTACATGTTGAAAATGGTGTTGTTTGTATAGGCCTCCACAATACAACATTAAGTGATTTGGGACAAATTAAGAATGATTAAGAGCAGTCAAAGACAACATTTGCAAATCCCTTTCTACAACTATCCAGAATCTAGATAAAGTGAACTTCACTTTTAATTCCCACCTAAATACGCTTGTACTTCCCAGAACAACTAGATAAAGCAGTTCAGTCGGAGACCATTGATGTTGCTGATACGCCACCATGTGAATCATATAAGTCACAACTTACCTGCTTTGTTAGATAGCGTTTGTACTTTGTCTTTTACGAAATGTAATATTAATGCTTAAAAGGCAAACAAACAATGAAGTGTGAAACCCTTTGAGGACAGAAGAGCGGAGAAAAGGTCCATAATAATACAAACATGCACACCTTGAGAATGTGTTTTATTTCTGTATGAATGATCAGTGTGTAATAAATACCAATAAAACATATACATGTTATTATTGTTTAAAGGTGTTGTGCTAAAAATACAGTTGGAGTCAATGGGCATTAGTACCCCATGTCAAAATCAGGATAACTTTATTTGTCTCAAAGGGGAGACATTTACATTACATTACATGTCACTTGTTAGACGCTTTTATCCAAAGCGACTTACTTAGTACTTACAGTACTGTGGGCAATCCCCACAGGAGCAATTTGGGGTGAAGTGTCTCTGGGACACAACGACATGCTGACTGCAGTGGGGTTTGAACCTGTGACCTCCTGATCCAAATACCAACGTACAACCCACTGCGCCACACGCCTACCCACGATTTACAATCGTTACAGCAGAGAGCCAAAGATAGCTTAATATCACCCAAGAAGCATAAGAACTTACTTAACTTACTTACTTACTTACACAATTTACAAGATCCAGTACCAATAACAGTTTAGCGATATAACAGCCAGGAGAAAGAATAAAAGGTGGTAGAATAAATGGCACAGCTATTTATGGTATGTATATATATATATATATATATACAGTATATTGCACAACAGGAGTGTTTTAGTCTTTGTTGTTATATGTGTGTGTCGGGTCTACCAGGGTGGTTGTACAGTCTGACCGCTGCAGGAAAGAAGGACCTGCAGTATCTCTCTGTGAGACACCGCAGGTTTTGTAAAGCACTTTGAGTTGCCTTGTGTTGAAAGATAAGATAAGATAGAACTTTATTGATTCCAATTTGGGAAATGTTTTTGTTGCAGCAGCATAAAAACACATGGCATTGTACAATAAAAATAAAAAGACAAGAAATAAACAAGAAAGTCGAAAATATACATGTTGAATTTACAAATGAACAATAACAAGTTAAAGCAAGGTATTATATTTACATAAGTATGTGACGGATGGAATATTAAATATTAGAATGAATATATAAATAAAAACTGTACAGTGAAGAGAACAACTATGGAGCAGAGGTGAACGATGTATAAAGGTGCCCTATAAATAACTTGCCTTCCCTTGCATTGCATTGCATGTAATATTCTTATAAATATTTGTTTTTTATTTTTGATCTTTTCTAAAATAGAGAAACTCAAATCTCTCACAAACCAATCTGATGCCTCTCTAATTATCTTCACAGCTTTCCACTTTACATAACAATACTGCACATATTTTATTTTATAGTAGTAGGCCTACTGCTTTTTTGGTTTATCCAGATATCATGTAAATAATTTTCTATAACTTAACGCATACATTATTTTAATAGTTTTTTAACAATAGTTTTTATTTCATTCTTTGGTTGTTTTTATTACTTTTTATCTTCTTTAACTGTGTTTATGTTTGCACCATGTACACCAAGGCAATGTCTTCGCATGTGTAAACCCTACCTGGCTAAACACCTGATTCTTTCTGATTCAGATTCCTGTAACTGCCTACATTTCCCAAAAAGCCCTATAATAATGAGTCTCGCGAGATGTGAGTGTAAACCCCGTCTGCGGCTGCGCAATATCATTCGAAAACTTGCACGCTGAGCGACGCGGCCGTGGAGGAGAAAGAAACGCAGCGAACAAAACACACAATGGCGACGGTGGCGACAACGGCAGGCGCGACGGGCTCAGGCGGACCGGCGACGGGCACTGTGGGCGGCGGGACCACCGCAGTGGGGAGGAAGAAAGACGGTGGTCCGTCTGCGAAATTTTGGGAGAGTTCTGAGACGATATCGCAGTTTGAGACGGTTCGGCAGTGGATCGGAAAACACTACAAGAAGGTAGCTGGTTCTCCATTGATTTCTATGACGGCCCGTTGGCACAATGGATCCCAACTGCTATCCTAGCTAGCAACACAAACTACAGATAAAGACGAAGCTTTTCATATAAGTGTTTGTCTTTACGTGCATGGATGTATTGTAAGCACATGATCGTGTTAACATGAGTTTAAATGCTCGTTCTTTACATGATTGGGGCTGTTTATGTGTTAGCTAGCTCATCGTTAGCTAGCTAACCAGAATATCCCGAAGCGGGGAAATAAACGCTTTTACAACAAAAGTGGTTTAAAAAAGGGCATGCAATATTAAAGAGAACGTTTATTTATTAAATATAGAGAAGAAAATCACTGATTAGTAATAATATAGACAACCATTAGCACACAACCATGGCTACAAATGAGTAGAAGCGATTGAAAAGTGACATAAGAAACATATCATGGTGTTTTGGCATTATAATCTGTCTTTGTTATCAAATAACAAGTGATTATTGCACAGTACAAAAAGAAAGTGTGTGTATTATTGTATTTCTGTAACTGCTCCTTCGGTGTTGTTACAATAACACACATGGGGCGAAAATGCTTATAAAGGCGCGGAAATGGGAGTTTCTGCAATTTATGTTTTATACATGTGTAAAAAACCTTAATCGATTCAAACATTTTACACAAAACTCCCTTTGAGTCTTGCAAAAGGCCTCAGAAGCTAACCCAATGTTACCCTCGCTTGTCACGAGACCCAGCGTTATCAAGCAACTTAAAATACAACTTAATATAACCCAGCGTTCGCGTTTGTATTTCTTATGAATGTACAGAGTATGGTGTGCGTTTTGCAAGAGCAGTTGTTTTGTGGCTGGAGAGTGCGCGTTTTTGAGTGTTGTCAACACAGCAGCGTAGCCCACTGTGCATGCTCCACTTAGTTAGCTAAACAAAGAAAGCTCCTCCTGTCCCTTCATGCTCTCATCAAACCCACTGACATGCTCCATAGCCCTGTATGTTGAAGTAAAAGACAAAAAGCTTGATGGGGGAATTTTGAAAGCTGTTGTGTAGACTAAGTTAGGTTTAAACGCATATCTGGGACTAAACTTGTAAACATGCTTCTTCACAAAGCCAACCCAGAGCTTAGCTTGGCTTTGTTTATATGCAATCAGTGTTCCTAAAACAGCCGCGTTGGATGTGTTTTAAGGTTAGAAGTGGCTCTCCTTCTCCCTGTCCTTGTTATAAATAGTTTGGTTTGTCCTAATTTCTCCTAGCCAGACATTGTCATCGTATCAACAATGCAGCTATCTCTATGCCAGAGCAGGAGTGGCAAACATCAGATTACAAAATGCACCGATATTGGCAACTTCACATGATTTTTAAATGGATAAATGTGCACTTTAACAAATGAACAGTTTTCTCATTCATAGTCAATTATATGTATTTTTCAAGAAGCCTATATAGGATGTCTTACATGTGTAAATGAGCATATTTGAGCACTGGGAACAGCACAATGTAAATATGCATTATTATTTCTTCTATCTATTAATACATTTGTTTTATTCACAGACTTACTCAATGGTACACCCCCCCCCCCCCCCCTGACATTAGAGTTGTGATAAAGTACACATGCGATACAGTGTATGGGACTAATTGTGCAGCTTTCGTATGTGTATCAGTTTCCCTGGAGTGTGTATGTGTGTGTGTTTTATTAATGTTTTTACTTCCGTCTGCTCCCAGTATGTGCAGAATGACTCCCCCTCCAGTAAATCCTTGGCGGGTCTGGTGGTCCAGCTGCTGCAGTTCCAGGAGGACGCGTTCGGACGCAGGGTCAACAATCCTGCTCTTACCAAGCTACCTGTAAGCAAATCAAACACACATACATTTTGTATTTCCTCAAACAACATACTTTCCTTCTGTCTTTGCTTTAATGACATGTATAGAAGGCAATATCTGAGTGCTGAGTATTCTTCTATCTTCAGGCCAAGTGTTTCCTGGATTTCAAGGCCGGAGGTGCTCTCTGTCACACCCTGGGGTCGGTCTACAAGTTTAAGAGCGAGCAGGGGTGGTGAGTTGACCAAAACTGAAGCTATTATTATGTCCTAAAAGCAAACTCTGTTATCACAAATAAGCTCCTGTTTTTGCTTTGCCACGTTCTCTCGTTTGTTTTCACTCTTACTAAACTCTGTGTTGTAGCTGTTGTTTGTTCTGTATTACTCTATTACAACCCTATTTCGTTGTATGTCTAATTGTCCTTTCTAATCACTCCCAGGCGTAGATTTGACCTGCAGAATCCTTCCCGGATGGACAGGAACGTGGAGATGTTCCTAAATGTGGAGAAGAACCTGGTGCAGGTACGACCCGTACTCTCCGTACACAAGCTGCTGCTTTGAGGAGCGTTTCAGTGTCCCCTGTTCAGATTACTTTACTGACTATTAAATGTACAATCAAATTAAAATGTGTCTTTGGGATCGGCAAGAAAACAACGCTCACCACGCAAAGCACAACGTACAGTTCAGACACATACAAAGAACACTACATTCAGAAGTCTGCTGCTCTGTGATGAGTGAATACACTTGATGTTTGATCATGCTGCTCTTTGGATAATCCAGCACTTGTAGAAAGACCCAACAATATTTTCAAAACGCCAAGTATTGCTCAATGAAGCTGCACTTTATTGAGGCCAGATTATACAGTTTTTATTAAAGTTATCTGCTACTTTGCAAAATAACTGAAATGCATTTGTGCTGCTGGTGTTTTGTTGTTGTTGTTGTAAATGTACAGTTTCCCCCAAAACAAGATGGATAGATACACCATCAACTTTATTCTTCTAGATTCTTTTTTTGGATGAAATATATTGTTTATGGTCCTAACTTATTATTTCTGTGCTTGTAGAATAATTGCTTGACTCGACCCACCGTATTCCTGTCGACGGACATCGAGCAGAAACAAGCCATTAAGCTGAAAGACATCGTCAAGCGGCACCAGGTGAGCCTGAACCCACTGCATAAAGACCTTTCCTGAGACATTGATTTATCCGTTACTTATGACTGTCATTTCCTCCACTCTGTCCTCTCCAGGGCTCCACTACTGATGACAAGTCAAAGGCCACCCACCACATTTACCCCTCTACATCCCAACAAGAAGAAGGTAGGGGTTGAATTGTCTTTAATTTCGGATTGGATCACATTCTTGACCGTATCAGTTCATGGGCAGTGTTCTTCTTTAGCCTGGTGGCAAATATGAGTCCTTTTGCAAGCTGCTGAAAAAACTAATTCTTATGATGATTACAAATGACATCAAATGTGTGGCTGATGATCATTTTTCCAGGGTTTTCGTAACTGCAAATATGTTTTAGTTTACGCAGTTGTATTTCGTATAGCTTACTGGCCAGTGTGTATTTGTCAGCGATTGGTTTGTGTATGTTGCAGATGAGTGGCTGCGTCCTGTCACGAGGAAAGACAAACAGGTGCTGGTTCACTGGGGTCTCTCCCCCGACAGGTGAGTAGAGGACCGCATCGAGAGGCTCACAGATCTCACTGTGTCATTGATGTGTTTTCATTCAAACATGTTTTCTTCCCTTGATTTTCCTCCATCTGTCATTAAGCCACCGAAACAGCTTGCATGTTTCCGAAGCGACTTCACAGACACACATTTGAATTCACTCACCAGTTTACCAAACCTGATGAATGACATGTTGCTCGGAAAGATATTCACTCTTTTCAACCTTTCCTTCTAAGTTTCCATTTTCGAGTTATTAGACTGATTTCATGAAGATTTTTTACTTGGATTTCCTCAATAGTTGCTGTAGAAGATTTTAACCTTAAATTGGGTATTTGTATAACCTAGAATCTTGAATACCTTTCATTTTATTGCAATTTTCTTGGGGTGGTGGAAATAATCGATACAGCATAGTATCGCGATACTTTGCGTACTTGTATCGATATTTTATTGTATACATTTTTTATATAAACTGTAGTAGGGCTGTGCGATTATGGCAAATCATAATCATGATTATTTTGGTCAATAATTGATATCACGATTATTCATTGAATTTGAAAACATCCATTTATTGAACTTTACAACAAATAATAATTTAACAAATCGTATTAAATGATCTGATGACAGAATAGCTGAAACTTTAACAAAATAAATAACTCGGTTACCTCTAATCATTATAATGTGACTTGCAATATATCGTATCGTGGTGTAAGTATCGCAATAGTATTGTGGCTTAAGTATCGTGATAGTATCGTATTGTGGGGAGCCTGGAGATTTCCCACCCCTACAGTTTCCATACTGCACTGATCAATACATATCCACATTTTCTAAATGAATTGGGAGGATTATGTTTTTCATTGTAATAAGAAAACCTCTCTATTTTGGATGCAGCATGTCAGTTCATGAATCTTGTTCTTACCGCTGGCTTGTTTATTTATTCTATTAGCTATGATACCTGGGTGTCAGCAGCAGAGGTGGATGGCGACGTGGAGGACCCCCCCAGCAACGACGAGCCATGGAAGGTGAAAACAAAGTCGTATATTTTAACCAAGACATTGGCATTAATAGAGAGAAATATCTTTCAATTCATTTTTAACATTTGTATTGGGATGTTTATCTCAAAAGAAAACCAATTGGAGGAATAGCTGCTGCTTTTGTGAACAAGCAGTCATTGTGTCCAGCAGCACTAAACAATTGGTCAAATTATTTCCATTTGATGAAATTCAGGGCGGAAGTGTTGATGTGACACTTCTTGGATGGAATAATAAACCTTTAAACTCAGACTTGATCATGTTGAGGAACTGTCTACAAACTCTGTCTCCTTCCCACTCAGGTGCATGCAAAGTGGGTTATAGACACCGACTCGTTCAATGAGTGGATGAACGAGGAAGACTACGAGGTGGACGACAACAAGAAGCCAGTCAACTTCCGCCAGAGGATCTTCCCCAAGGAGGAGGAGGTAGCTCACTGTCCTGTGTGTGTGTGTGTGTGTTTTGTTTGTTATTCAGTCCCAGAAAATCACGAATCTGAACGTTTTCTAGTCAGTACAGCTTGAAAACAGTGGTGTTGTTAAAAACCGGCAACACATGTCTGATTATATACTTCATAAGTGTTTTAAATAACCAACAAAAGGCATACATTTTTTTTTTTAAATATCTAATACTGGTCATGAATAGGCGCATTCACACCGCAGTACTTTTCCCACAAAGGTTCATGAGAACTCTTTTGTCGCGTTCACACCAAAAGAGCCGGTACTAAAGTTAGTTCATTAGAACCTTTTTACCCCCTGCTAGAGAGCAGAGAG